ACCATTGATACAAGGCAGGATGGATCCATGCTTTCATGTTGTTTAGCCAAATTCTGATCCTACTATCACAGCAGAAATCAAGACTCATGAGACCAGGCAACCTTTTTCAAGTCTTCTGTTATCCAATTTTTTATTGTAGCCTCAGTTTCCTGTTCTTAGCTTACAGGAGTGGCACTGATCTTTGCTGCTGTAGCCCATCTGCTTCATGGTTCGACATGTTGTGCATTCATAGCTCTTCTGATGCTCTTCTGCATACCTCGGCTGTAACAATTGGTTATTTGAGTTAGTGTTGCCTTTTTATCAGTCTGGCCATTCTCCTCTGACCTCTGGCATCAACAAGGCATTTTCACCCACAGAACTGCCACTCGCTGGATATCTTCTCTTTTTCTTTTCTTTTGGACCATTCTCTGTAAACCCTATAGATGGTTGTGCATTAAAATCCCAGTAGATCATCAATTTCTGAAATACTCAGACCAGCCTGTCTTGCACCCATAACCATGCCACGTTCAAAGTCACTTAAATCCCATTTCTTCCCCATTCTGATGCTCAGTTTGCACTTCAGCAATTTGTCTTGACCATGTCTACATGCCTAAATGCATTGAGTTGCTGCCGTGTGATTGGCAGATTACATATTTGCAGCAGCTGAAGAGGTGTGCCAAAATAAAGCGGCTAGTGAATGTACTGTAGCCTATGTGCTAATGCAGAGTTGGCCAAATTAACCTTTGACACATTATATCTGCAAATATATCTATTGCAAAATCTCTTGACACATTCATACCGTTACACTGTATAGTTGTATAGTTCTACACTGTATAGTTGTTGCTTTGACACAGTCTGTATTGTTAAAAGCACTATGTAAATAAAGGTGACTGTATGTTTTGTCATATTGAAATCAGGTACTGTAAAAGCATCAAAGTCTTACATTCAATTGAGTGTTAAATTTTTAATGTTCAAAAAGCTTTAATGTCTTTTCCGTCTCAGATCCCGCTGCTTGATGAGGGGATTCGGATCCACGGAGAGAAATCCACAGAGCAGCTCAAACCCCTTCACAACAGACTCGTCACCTGCTTCCAGGACCTGCGTGCTAAAGTGGAGAAACTCTATGGTGTCATTACTCTAGTGAGTCTGACGGATTCGACTCTAATCGAGGGATCTGTGAGAGCCAGACAGAGGGGTTGCAGTTTCTGGGAGGAAATGTTTCAGATCTGAGGAAACGATTCATACGGGATATTGTCTAACAATTTCTTTCAAGGAGTTTTGAAATCAGCTAAGACAACACAAGGTTCATATTCGTGAGATTGTAGACTGCATGAGGGAGGACTGATCTGCTTTAAAGAAGTGACTGTTGTCTGTGTGTCAGGTTTTTGCTATACTTGCAGGTACATTTGGTCCCCACAACATAGTAAAGCCTGCACTTTGTAGTCTCTTCATTAAGATGTTTTTCTTTGTGTATGCCACAAGTGTGGTCCACTAAAGGAATAATATCTTAAAGGTGAAGCATGTCATTGTTTTGATGTTAAAATACTTTCTCCCATCCCGGTTTATATGCAGAGACAACTATAAGCAGTTCTTATTAGATGGCACACAACTCATCCCTTAATTTTTTCCCTAAATGAATGAATAACTATTAAAATCAGACTTGTTGTACAGAAGCGTTCTATTACTTTACTTGGAAATGTTTACTTTAAGCAATTTTTACTAAGCAAAAATCCCACATACTAACACTACAGCTCAAAAGTTTAAAGTTTTTAAGATTTTTAAATGTTTCTAAAGGACTTTCTTACACTCACCAAGGCTGCATTTATGTAATTACAAATCTAGGAAAAACTGTATTATTGTGAAATATAATTACAATTTAAAATATCTGGTTCTGATGCTCAGTTTGCACTTCAGCAATTTGTCTTGACCATGTCTACATGCCTAAATGCATTGAGTTGCTGCCGTGTGATTGGCAGATTACATATTTGCAGCAGCTGAAGAGGTGTGCCAAAATAAAGCGGCTAGTGAATGTACTGTAGCCTATGTGCTAATGCAGAGTTGGCCAAATTAACCTTTGACACATTATATCTGCAAATATATCTATTGCAAAATCTCTTGACACATTCATACCGTTACACTGTATAGTTGTATAGTTCTACACTGTATAGTTGTTGCTTTGACACAGTCTGTATTGTTAAAAGCACTATGTAAATAAAGGTGACTGTATGTTTTGTCATATTGAAATCAGGTACTGTAAAAGCATCAAAGTCTTAAATTCAATTGAGTGTTAAATTTTTAATGTTCAAAAAGCTTTAATGTCTTTTCCGTCTCAGATCCCGCTGCTTGATGAGGGGATTCGGATCCACGGAGAGAAATCCACAGAGCAGCTCAAACCCCTTCACAACAGACTCGTCACCTGCTTCCAGGACCTGCGTGCTAAAGTGGAGAAACTCTATGGTGTCATTACTCTAGTGAGTCTGACGGATTCGACTCTAATCGAGGGATCTGTGGGAGCCAGACAGAGGGGTTGCAGTTTCTGGGAGGAAATGTTTCAGATCTGAGGAAACGATTCATACGGGATATTGTCTAACAATTTCTTTCAAGGAGTTTTGAAATCAGCTAAGACAACACAAGGTTCATATTCGTGAGATTGTAGACTGCATGAGGGAGGACTGATCTGCTTTAAAGAAGTGACTGTTGTCTGTGTGTCAGGTTTTTGCTATACTTGCAGGTACATTTGGTCCCCACAACATAGTAAAGCCTGCACTTTGTAGTCTCTTCATTAAGATGTTTTTCTTTGTGTATGCCACAAGTGTGGTCCACTAAAGGAATAATATCTTAAAGGTGAAGCATGTCATTGTTTTGATGTTAAAATACTTTCTCCCATCCCGGTTTATATGCAGAGACAACTATAAGCAGTTCTTATTAGATGGCACACAACTCATCCCTTAATTTTTTCCCTAAATGAATGAATAACTATTAAAATCAGACTTGTTGTACAGAAGCGTTCTATTACTTTACTTGGAAATGTTTACTTTAAGCAATTTTTACTAAGCAAAAATCCCACATACTAACACTACAGCTCAAAAGTTTAAAGTTTTTAAGATTTTTAAATGTTTCTAAAGGACTTTCTTACACTCACCAAGGCTGCATTTATGTAATTACAAATCTAGGAAAAACTGTATTATTGTGAAATATAATTACAATTTAAAATATCTGGTTTCTATTTCAATATATTTTAAAATGTAATTTATTCCTGTGATGCAAAGCTGAATTTTCAGCATCATTACTCCAGTCTTTAGTGTCACATGATCCTTCAGAAACCATTCTAATATACTGATTTGCTGATCAAGAATCATTTATTTATTATTATCAATATTAAAAACCGTTATGCTGTTTATTTTTATTTTTTTGTGGAAACACTGATACATTTTTTGTTCAGGATTCTGAACGAGAGACATCTTTTGTAACATTATAAATGTCTTTACTGTGACTTTTTATCAATTTGATGCGTCCTTGCTGAATGAAAATATTATTTTCTATAATAAAAAATCTTACTGGGTGGGGCAGAAATGACATATTTCATCTTTAATAGGGAGACTAAATAATGCCAAACTTGCATTTATAAATGCTTGACTTTGAGTTAGTCTGTTTGAATTGAATTACAGTAGAAGTCAACGAGAGCCATGTTATGCCTTAACAAGAAATGTGTTTGTGCTTGTGTATTTCCAGCCCTACTCTCTGACAGAGAAGAAAAAGAGTCGCGTGGGGTCGATGGTGATGCCGTACATCATGTCCTCCACGCTCAGACGGATGTCCACTATCTCAAACGCCTCCTCTGGACACTCCTCAGGCTCCTCCGACGGAAACCCCTCCAGACCTGCTTCTCAGGAGTCAGTATCCACTGCGTCCTCTTCTCTCATTCCTAGAAATAAACTCCCTTGTTTTCAGCACCGCACTGAGGGCTCATTTGCCGCAGTACAGAGTTCCTGTGGTCATGGAAAGGTCACAGATAGATTCAGTTTCCCATGTAATTACACTTTCTGCTAGTGGACAAACATGACATTAATCCATTTAACCTCCGTGTTTAATTGATTCTTGTAGGTGCTGGATAAATGGATTCTCATTAAAAACAAGTGCTTAATTACCATTAACTCCCCAATAATATAGGGGGAAAAATATCTAAATGAGTAAATGACAACCTTTAACCAGTTTTCAATGATTAGGCTGTTTTCCCTCGAGTATTTGCAGTTGAAATGATCCCAAATTAGTCATGCGTAACTGGATAGAACACTTGCCTTGTTTTTTTTGTTTTTTTGCTGCAAAGTCATTATTGTGATTTATGGCTGTCAAAAAAAATTTGAATTTCGAATATTCGTCGAATTTAAAATAAAAATCCACATTCGAATGCAAAAACGTTGCATTCGAATTTTAGGTGTGCGTTAAAGAGGCAGTCTTATCAGCGGCGCACGAGATGCGATGACAATGTAAGTGTCGTTGCATTATAATAAGCCTATCCAGTTTAAAAATATAGCGGAAAAAGAGAACATCAGTGCGGAGAAGATCTTGTTTACATCAAAAACCGAAACCAAGCCGTTCACACAGAACACATATTTCACGCATTTTCTAGATGGGCATCTATTACTGTTGCACTCGCATCTCGCACAAAAGAGCCGCATGTTTTGAAAGCCAAGTAAAATGAATGAAAGTTCAACTTTGAAAAAACTTATATCGAGAAACTAAAATTAAAAATTCGGTATTTTGATTACAACCTCTTTACATTTACATTAACTTGTTTCATATTGAGATAGTATCTAGCTGTTTTTTGCATAACTTACATATTGCTTGAGCTTCTATACTAGTTAAATGACAAAAATTGCTGAAATATTTCTGTTAGAGATGCACAATTTATTTATTTTTGAATATCTATTGAATATCTCAGCCTGTGTGTGTGTGTGTATATATATATATATATATATATATATATATATATATATATATATATATATACTGTATACACACATACATATAATAATTTATAATATTATATGGAATTTATTTATTTATTTATTTTATTTATTTAGGCAAAATATTATATTTATTTAATATCAGTCATTTATCAGTTATTGCAAATTTACAACGTAATTCGGAAATTCAAAAGGAAGTACATTGACTGATTCATAAAACAATAAGTGCTAAAATGTGCTGCTCAGACTGTTTCAGACTGACATAATTGGAGAGTTTTAGACTAAAATTCATTTAAATAAATGTATTTTTGTCCTTGAGAAGAGTTTAGAACATCTTATTGTTTCCTTTGCATGTTAAAATTTCAGAATTCAAATTAAAACAATGGCAACAATAGTTTGTGCTTTTCTGTTGTGACTTTTCTGTGTTAGTCAGAAGCAGTGGTACTCAAAGCATTTAGCTGTTTCCAGCTATGTTTGAAAAACCTATTTTGTTCACTGACCTTCCTTTTATTTCAGTGTTTCTTAAGTTTTTAGCAGATGTGTTCTTCTCGAAATGCTAATCAAGCGTGTATATCATATAAATAAGTAGCAATTACCAAGACAGGCAGCCGAGAGAATGAGACCCAGATCTCCGAAGAATCTCTCAAGAATAAGTGTATAATGAAGTTTTATATCGGGTTGCGTTTTGGAGGTTTCCACTTCTGCGTCACTCAACCAACAAGTGGCTTACTTACAGTATAGTCTCTTCACATTAAAAAAATTGCAATGTAGACCCATGCATTTTCTGTAAAGCTGCTTTGAAACAATGTGGATTGTGAAAAGCGCTATACAAATAAATTTGAGTTGAATTGAATTAAACTGAGATAGGAAAAAATATATTTTAAGATAAAAAAAAAGAGAGACACCTGACCTTAAAGCAAATGTGTTGCTTGACCAGAATGTTGTCGTACAAATGTATAATACATGGACGTCATGCTCAGAGGATTTGTATAAGCGTGCAAAAGGTTTTCATCTGATTGTCTCTTTTTCTCTCAGCTCGCTGCTCTCCCGTGTGAGCGACAGCAGGGCTTCGGTTCTGTCTCGCTCTGAGGAAGATAATCGGATAAGTAAGAAGAACAGGAAAGAATGGAGTATGAGCAAGTCTCAGGTCTTACTGGAGCGACCCGCTGACAGTGACGAGGTGCCTTTTATTTGCTTTTTGACCATTCCTTTGACCATTCTCTGATGTAAACACTCTGTTTGATGTTGATTTATGTCATTTCATAGTGAAATTGAAGGACTGAGTGGAATAAATCGTAGGAAAGGACATTTTTAAAGTGGACTAATTTCATATTTGGAGATATGATTCATTTTATGCGCTGTCTGTGTGGTGGCAGATTCCTCCAGAGAAGCAGCCAAGGCCTAAAAGTCTGACGATAGGAGACCGGAGACTCACGCTGTCGCTGTTTCATGGAGAATCATCCAATTTGAGTTTATACAACCCCCTCAGCCCTCTGCCTGCCTCACCACACACACCACGCAGCTCCAGTGAGTGCACAACCACACATCCAACACAAACAGAGGATTGTTTGTTTTTCTTTACCATGGTGCATGAATATGATAATGCTACTATCACTGTACCATGGTGCTACAGTACATTTTCTTTCAAATAAAATTGTTTTCAATATACGCTTCCATTCAATAGTTTGGGGGTTGGTTTTGAAAGAAGTCTCTTGTGCTCATCAAGGCTGCATTTATTTGATTAAAAAAAAGAGCTATTATTGCGGTTTAAAATAACTGCTTTCTATTTGAATATATTTTAAAATGTAATTTATTCCTGTGATGAAAAGCTGATTTTTTTTCAGCATCATTACTTCAGTCTTCAGTGTCACATCATCCTTCAGAAATCATTCTGATATGCTAGTTTTACGGTTAAGAAACATTTCTTCTTATTATTATCAATGCTGAAAACAGTTGCTGCTTCATAATTTTCAGGAAAGTGGAAAGAAATTATTAATAATTTATATGATATTATGAAATTATTTTGTGGAAAGATCATTTTCAGGTGGCTTTGATGAATTTAAAGATTAAACAGTACAGCATTCATTTGGAATAGAAATCCATTGTGATAGTGTAACAATCGTTACTGTCGCTTTTGATCAATTTAATGCATCTTCGCTGAATAAGAGTGTCAATTTATTTTTTAAAAATCATGCTGAAATTATGAATTACTAAAAGTTAAACTAAAATTAAAATGAAAACCGAATATATAAAAAAACGAATTCAAAATATGAAGAAATACTATATAAATAATACAAAAATAACACAGATTTTTATATATGTATATATATATATATTTAAATATAGAAATTTAGATTTATACATCATCTGAAAGCTGAATAAATAAGCTTTCCATTAATTTATGGTTTGTTAGGATATGACAATACTTGGCCGAGATACAACTATTTGAAAATCTGGAATCTGAG